AACAATTAAAATTTTCAGCATTGTTTTTTATCACAAAGCACTTCGTTCCCATGTTGTAGCCAAGGAACAGTGTAGCATTTCAGAACTAACAGATTTCCACAATACATCAGAAGTTAGCAGCAGAGTCCCACTGCTTGTGCATAAATGGTCATGGCCAACACAGCAACGATTTAGTGATTCTTTTCTTTAGCATTTCATACTTAATATACGTTTTACATTTCAAGGTAGAGTACACCTTTGAACTGGTCAGGCGTCCTCCCATTTCAGAGCTAGAAAGCCAGTCATTTGATCTTCCCGGCAAACCCAGTTAGGCAAGGCTTTGCCCCATGCGGACATCTAAATTCCTAGTTACGAGATAAATAACCCTGCACTGAATGAATAGAGATTGCATCTGAAGCCCAGAGTTGGCAAGAAATATTCTAAGGCTACACAGCAAGTGAGCATGCAATGAAGCAAGGCCAGATCCGAGGTCTCCTGCTTTTACTTAAACCATCCTGTCTCCTCCTCAACAAAGATGAATAATAGAGATAAAGACACACAAACTGACCCACATAAAAGCTTCCGACTCTTCTCTCCACTGTCCCTCTGGCTCCTGTTTCTGAAAACATGCGTTTACTTCCAGTCTGTGATTTTTCTATTCTAATACCCTCCAGACAGCTACACTGTTACTTCTCCTTCCTCACTGCACAGTTTCCTCATGGCACAAAACACACATCTATGCACATATGTGGAACCCACACTCCCCGTCTCAATATTATAGAACTCTTCCTTTTCCAACAGCAAAGGAATTCTAGGCCAAAACTGAAATGATTTCAATACAAGAACCTGGTTCAGGTATTAAATGCAACCATAACTCTACCCAGAAGCAAATCTGACAAAATGGAATTTGTCTTCACAAAGAAGGTGTTTTTTTTGTTTTATTTTGTTTTTTTTTGTTCCCCATACTCTATCATTTGTCAAGTAACATTGCCATTTTTCCCACTGCTGCATAATCACATAATGAAAGCACCAGGTATAATTCATGTACACAAGAGGGCAGACTTAGGGCTGATAAGGGACCCTTTCTTTATTTGCATTGCTAATAGTTTTTTAAAGAACAGGCAAAATGTTATATGTAGAAGGATGACAGAGGAAAAAAAAATCTTTTTCTGTTTGTAATAACAATGTGGGATAATCAACTGATATTCTCGGATCTTATCTAGCAACCCTTCTTGTCACTGTTTGAATACATAAAGCCTGAAGCTGGGACACAGTTCTCAGCATGAAATCCTCCTAAATTATTCCCCTGTAACACCAAGCTTCCCTCTCACAAGACATCCTCCCTTCCAGCCGCATTAACTACTAACTACTCTCCAGGGACATAACATACTATCAGGTTTCCATGCTGTTCTTTGTCTTTAAGCCTCAGACCTCCTTTCTTCCTACTATCCTGGCAAGTTCAAAGTCATCCCTTCAACAAACCTACATGATAGTACTTAGCTCGTAGGAATAGTTGAAAAACTGCTCCCCCTAAAAGACTATTAGGTAAGCACGGAGCCTCTGTAACTCTCAGCACAGAGCATGGCACCTGCCACAAGGTAGATGGTCCATTATTACTTGTTAAATGAAAAGCAGCAGTCTTCTAAACTACATGTCATGAAGCCTTACCTTTACCTACCGCTACCTGCTATTGTCTAAATATCAATGTGACAGAGAAAACCTGAATTATCTCTCAATGTCAAATACTGTAGAGCAGAGAAGCCTCACCAACACTAGCAGATTCTGGAAGGTTGCTCTATCCCCAAGGTGTATCAATGCCAGGGCACTTAGAGTACTCAGTCAAGTTCTCCTCTCCTCCCTCGTCTTGTACCCCCAAACCAATGTGCTCGTTTCTTTCTGAGAATCTCTGGCTAAAAAGACACCTTCCCCACCTCTCCCTCGGCCATCTGGCTTCTCTCAAGTTCACAGTTCTATATTTGGGCCTTAAGACCACAGCATATATCCTCTCCAGGACCAGGTTTTCAAGAGTTGGTGCCCAACAGCAAATGTAATGGTGTTTTCCTGTTCTAATCTCTTACCCCTTAGCTATACTGTGCCTAGGAGAATCAATCTATAAAGCTTTAATGGTAGAAATAAAGCTTTATGTTAACCATTTTATTCCTAGACCATGATAGCTCCTGCTATCCAAATGTGCACTATACTTATGGGTAAGGGGTCACAAATGCAGTCTGCCAGTCCCCAGAATTCAGGGAGAAGAAATCATACAGGTTCACGGGTTCCTAACAGAGTTTCATTCTACATGCCAAATCTGGCTTTTTAGAAGCCAATTAAGACCTAATTGTGGGTGACAACGTCCTTTTAGTGCCAACATTCTAAACTGGGCAGTCTCTTCTTGAACTCTACCTCTCATCTCTCCATTCTCTCTACCTCTGGGTTCAGCTTCAGTAACACTCAGCTGTTGTGGGTCAGCCTCAGCAACGGGGCAGCATCATTCAGGGAAAAAGAACTATCTTACAACTGTGCTAGAAGAACCCTAGACGCTGATGATTTCATACTGTTAAAAGTACAGACAGCATCTGAGATGTGAGCGCAACTACATTGGCAAAGGTTAACATCACATAAGGCATGAACATTTAAGGAGATGACAGAGATAAATTTTAAGTTTGATGCAGTCGATTCTAAAGATGTTTTGAAGTAATGTGATCTTATTTAGATTGAGGGGGAGGTACAGTCCAAAAATCAAAAAGAGAAGTTTTGATTACAAACTGTTAGAGAATTTAAAGATAGCATGGTGTGATACCCAAAGGGTAGCATCTGCAGGAGGTTCTGTCTCCCCAAAAGTCATATCCCTTATATACAGGGAGACTGTAACTGAGACTCCTCAGTTACCCAGTTGTGAGTTGTCCAAAGGACATTTTGAAGGAGAGCAGGCCCATCACATAAGGATTTAGCATCTACCTGTTATGAAAGCATGCACTGGGTACCAAAAAGTTAAGTTCGTGAGCCGGGAAGTCAAACCACAATCTTTTTGTAACATGGGTCCTTGTGTCTTCTTCACTGGTGGAACAGCAAACTAGTCCCCCCTAGTGTCCTGCCACTGTAGGTGGAGAATGATGGAGGCTCTACAAAACGTGTCCTCTTGCGGTCTGCATCAACTTTCAGGCACAAATCAGAAACACGGAGCCAAAGGGAACCTTCACACCCTTCCCCAAGAGATGGAAGCACTTTCAGGACCTATGATGACATCGAAGAAAGATCTTCCATATTATTTCAATGCCCTTCTAGTTATGGTTTAAAAGCCAAAGAAATCTGCATTATTTCACATCAGAAAGTTAATACCTAACCCAGCAAACTTCACCAAGCAAGAGGGCCCCCTTGCTGACAGCAATGGCCCACTGTAGAGTGACATGCTCTTTTCTTTAAAAACCTCTCTATCCCTACTAGAGGGATTGGTTGCCTTGCCTCACCATTCTTACAAACCCTCTAAGATCTCAATGTTGATGACTTTTGACTTTCTGTTCTTGTTCATTTCCAGGAAAGCCTGGATACATGTGCTCTCCTCAAGCCATTTGCACTAAAGTATTCTGGAAAAATAATGATTCACTTAGAGATGTGTGAAACCTTAAAGCCAATTTTTTTAAAATTTTTCCCCCAGTGAGGACCCAGAAGGCCTGTGAGTAATTCATTCATGTCACCCATTTGTAAAAGAAAAGAGGGGGAAAAAAGCACCACTTGTTCCTTTCTTAATTTAGAAGCTTTCCTTATCTTAAGTGTATCAAAGCTGACTCCCAAGGTGGGAAGAAGAGGGATGAGGAGGGAAATTAACCTGAGGTGACTTGCCTCCAGGGAGTGAGTAAGCATTGCAGGTCCCCACCTGTGTCAGGGAGGAAAGGCATCTGCACTTAGGTGGAGTTCACGCCCCCACCAGCCACCCCCTGTAAGGAAGAAGGAGCCCGAGCTCACTCTTGGGGCACTTACATAAGACCCTGTGAAACTTTCTGTGACATTCACGGAAAATGTAAGCTGCTATTTTGCTCCCTCAGGAGATCATTTTAATGGACTGAGTGACAAAATTCACCGATTCTGAATTCAGCAGAAACCTGCTCTACCGAGGTACATCAGCACAGGGGAAAAAAAAAATCCATCCGCATTAAACAGGGTCACCCAGGGGATGGATTCAGTGTGCAAGAGACAATCTGTTCCTCCAAAGTGACCCATTTAAAATCAGATTGTTCCGGAGGAGGCTCATAGGTTTAATAAATTTCAAACAGGCAAGGACAGGCTTGTAGAAACGAGGCTTCCTAGGAGGAACATTTAAAAGAAGGTAATAAGGCAATGAACATAATAACTTGAGGGTGCACAAACTTGGGAATCCTCACTCCAAACTTCTGAACCGGTTACATTTATAAGAAAGTCCGGATCGCTATACATTGATCACACCTCACAAGCAGCTTTTGTTTAACAGGACCGACATGCTGGCTAGGCTTCCCCCCTACAAATACCACTGCCAACCAACCACCTGGTCCTAAAAAGAACCACCTGGCTCCAGAGCTGCGGCTGCTCACCCCGGAACAGGCCTCCACGCTCTGCAACAAGGAGCAAAGAAAAGTTCACAGCAGCACACCAGGAAAGGGAGGTCAGTACCGCCAAAGAAGGAACTCTCCAAACACAGCCGGCTCCTCAAAACACAGGTGCTCACAGCTAACAAGTGTGTGTGTTGGGGGGCGGCAGGGGGAAGCATCAGCGCCTCCCGGTATTATCAGGAAATCCTCCTCGCTCCCTGTAGCTGCCAGTGCGCCTAGGAGCCGGGCAGGCCTGAGACCTGTCCTGGGGACTTCGGGCACTGGGGACTTTCACCTCCAGCCTCTCCAGAGCTCCAGGCTCAGGAAACAGACGGTGTGGCCGCACTCCCCGCAGGCATCCTGAGTACAGGGTTTGTCAGCCACAGGTTCGGAGAACCTGTTCGGCACTGCTCAGCCGGGCGTCCCCGCGGCGGCTTTCTCGCACCCTAGGGCTCTTACCTTGGCCGTGACTGCCTCCAGGCAGAGAGAGACCGCGGAAGAGAAGAGTGGCGCGGCGGCGCCGCCGTCTACAAAGCGCAGGGGGTCCGGGTCCAGGTCCCGGCAGGGGATGCCCTAGTCGGAGCGACGGTGCCAAGGGCAGACTTCGTGACAGTCCCTGGTTCCAAACACCGCGGGGAGGGTCCAGGTCGCCCAAGCTGATCACTGTCCCTTCTTTCTTTTCCTTTGGAGATGCTGCCTGGAGCTGCTCCCTGCCCGGGGGACTCTTCCGAGCCGGGGGCGCCCCGCAGAGGCAGGGGCCAGGGTCCCCCTCGGGCTGGGTCCGGGGAGCGGCCGCTGGGGCAGGCTCCACCTCCCGCGCTCCCAGCCGCTTCTCCCCTTCAGGGCAGGGCCTGCCGGCAACCGGCCCGGCGAAGCGAGGGCGGCCGCGCCCCCAGCTCCGAGCGCCCGAGCTCCGGCGCGGCGGCGGGGCAGGAGCAACCCGGCCGGGCCGGGTGCCGAGCGCGGCGGCGGGGTAGGGGGTGCTGCAGCCGGCCGCGGATACCCCTCCCCCCGGGCCTCCGCCGCCCGCCCGCGGCTCCGCGGGAAGGAGGCGCTGGAGAGGGCCTCGCCCCGGCCTCGGGCGCGGGGCCGGGGGCGCGGGGCCGGGGGAGGCGCCCCGGGAAGGTCACAGGAGCGGAGGCGCCGCAAGCGGAGCGCACCACGGTGGGTGCGGGGAGCCGAGGCTGGCGGCCCCCGCCGCTGGGGGCGCTCGCCGGCCTTGGCCGCCGCCGCCTCCGAGACGCGCCGGCTTCCCGGAGCGCCCGGCGGTCGGAGCTGGGCTGCCGCTGCAGCCGCAGCAGGCGGGCGCCGCTGGCCGGAGCCGGCGCGCGATCCCCGCCTCCTGCGCCTGGGCAGGCGGGGACCGGTGCGCAGGGGCCGGCTTGGGGAACCGGCGGGCGGGAACTGGGGTTCCGGGCTCCGGGCTGGCCCCGCCGCCGCCGCGTGCCCAAAGCGCCGGGATCGCTCAGCAGCTGCAGTGACTGTGTGTCTGTGTCATGTCTGTGCAGCTGGGGGGGAACTCGAGCCCGGGCCGGGTTCCGAGCAGGGGCGGGGCCCGCGCCCGCTCTTGCGCCCGCCCTCGACCCCGTGACCGAGCAGACAACCAATGGCAGGCACCGCAGCCGCGCAAACCTAGGGTCCACCCCCGCCTGGGCTCCGCCTCCCGGCGAGGCTCCGCCCTCCCCCTGTTTCTGCTGGCTGGCCGGCAGGCGGAAGCAACACCCGGAGCTGGGATCCGGGCCGGGTCGGCAAGAAAGGCTGCAAGCTGGGCCGCTCCCCGCCCTTCTCCCCCCACCCGGGCCGCTCCGGGCCGCCTCGGGCTTGGCGTGCCTCGCGGAAAGAGGGGGAAGGGAAGCGGGACAGATCCGCAGCTGCTGCTGTAGAGACGCTTGCAAGTTCGCAGGGTCGTACAGCCTGCCTACCCCTCTTTTACAAAACAGCAGTCGTGGGAAGTAGGAAGTTTCCCCGCGTCGGGTCGCCGCCGCTTCGCCTGGAGGTGGGCAGGGTATGGGATAGCCTGAGACTGAGAGAAGCCTCGTTGAAGGGCTTTGACAGCATCTTTTTGGACTCTGTATCCAAGAATCCCATCTAAGGATTTTTCCCTATTCTTTAAGGGAAACTGCATTTCTGTGCCCCCTCCAACACACACGCGCGCGCGCTGGCAACACGCCCCCTCCCCGTTCTGATTTTATTCTTGCTCTTTTTCTCTCGACACGAGAACCCGCGCACAACATCCCATTGAATGGACTTCCAGCCTCCCAGCCCTAAGGACGAGGATGGGGTGCCCAGAGTCCTCCCAAGCTACAGGAGGAGTGGGTGGGACTGGCTGGGGTAAAGGTAACGGGGGTGTGAGGGTGAACGGACGGAGGCCTCCCTCAAGAGAAAACCCCGAGGCGAAAGCGAGAGGCAGGGAGAGAGGACGCAAAGGTCTACTCCGACTTGGAGACCGAAGCTCCTGGCGCATAATCCAGCTCCCGGGTTTTTCTTCAGCTCGGTCCTAGGGCTTCTGGGGTCTCCTTTCCCCCGGGTCCCCACCTCTCCCGAGCCAGCCGGGCGGGCCGCCGGGGCTCTGCCTCCCCTCTACGCGCTTCTCTATCGGCTCCAGGACTCATGGGAAGCAGTGGGAAGCCCACCTTGGCTCTTAGAAAGGGCAGGGGAAGGTTGGGCAGGGGAAGGGGTGCAGGAAAAGGCGGCCCAGCTCGGGCTGCCACACTCCCAGAGGTCGGGGGAGCGGGGGCGGCGGGGCCTGCAGAGGTTCATCTGCTCTGCTCGGGACCTAGCGCCCGCATAAGTAGCCCGACACTCTGCCTTCGACTGGACCAGCCGGGACCCTTCCCCCACTTCCCAACCCTCCAGCCTCTGCAGACAACGACCCCCGCCACCACCACCAGCGCGCCTCTTCCCCTTCTCCCGAGCGCTGTTTACCGAATCTCTGAGGCAGACCGCGGCGAGGAGGACGCGAAGAGAAGGTGGCGATGGCACAGCAGCGTCCCCGGCGAAGAAGTAAAAGACGTTTGCTTTGGAGCTTCAGAATAAGTTAACTGCGAAGCTGGGGTCCTGCGGTCTTATCTGTGCAGGGATGAGCCTCGCCGTGCACATTGCAGGGATAAGAGATCGTATCTGTTTTTGATGCCATTACGGTGTTGGAAAAGGACATTATGTGATACAATATTATCCAATATCCTAGAGACCATTAAAGTGTCAAAGTTTAATGCCAAGCCTTTTAGCTCTAAGGCTGCTCCGTCCTTCCTCTGACGTGCAACTCTGCTCCAGAACTGAAAACAAGGGGATCATTTTTTATTTTTTTGCGGGTCGAATGTCGGTCCTTCCTACTCTCTTCCTCCTTGGCCCCTCCAACCCCCTGCCCCGGAATCGGGTAAAATTAAAGCATGAATTTGAGCTTTATTTTTATTCATTGCGTTACATCGCTTCATTACTGGTGGAAAATGCTTTGTAGGGCATATTAGCATATTAATGAGGGTAACGTGACTGAGGAAGGGAAAAGGGACTTGAAATTTACAAGCAAAGGAGAAATAATTGAATAACATCAGAAACTAAAAGATAAGCATGTGGAAAAAAGAAACGTGTCCCTTATAATTATCCAAGTACATTCTCTAGATTGGATCTTAGAAAGAAAAATATAACCATAGTGAGGGAGGCAGTAAGATTCACGCTGGTCAGTAAGGTAAGTTGAAGACATAATTAATTATTAGGGAATTTCACAAAATTCCTCAGTCGACAAGCCCATTAAATGTGGAAAAAGTATTGCTCTATCAATTCAAGGTTGCAGTTTTTAAAAGTCAGTGGCAGAACTAATGTTCTAAATAACAGGAATATTTGCAGGCTGAAATATTCCACAGACTAAACCTGTGGGTTAGTAAATAGTCAAGCCTCACCCAAACCCCCACATTTAAAGAATTTATTTGGACAATTAAAACCTCCTGAACTTCCCAGTCCCGTGCAATTATGTACACATCCATATGTCTAAGAAACCTAAGCAGGATGTAGTTGGCTAGGAATTATAGCCCTCTGACAAAAGCCAAAATATAAATGTTTTAAAAGGATTTCAGCGGCAACATAAGGTAGAATGAGGAATGCGGAATAAAATATGAACGGTGATACATCTGTTATTTCTAAGGAATCAGCACAGATTTTTCGAAGAACTAAGAAATGAAAAAATAGTGAACCCTCTAAGCCAACTGTTACTTATTTATCTCCGCACAGATATTGTATCTGCCACTGAAGAGATTCAGAAAGGTCTCTCTTATAGGGTCAAGGAGACCTAATTCTAAGAAACCTGGCATCTTAAAACAGCCACTAGGGGGCCCTAAAGGCATCTTAAAGAGGACGCCGGAAAACCCTCTCACCTCCGTTTTTTCTCTGTACTGGAATCTGAAGACAACTTAAGAACATGATGCAAAGTTTGGAGACAAATCCAGCTTTATGTTTTGAATAGCCTGAGTCCGAGTTCTCTTTTCCGACCTCTAAATAAACAAACAAATAAAGAAAAAAACCCAAAATACAAGAAAAGATTATTTGTACCCTCTAAAAGAACAGTGCCCTCTCACCATCTTAAAGTCAACTCAATTACTTTTACCGTTCCGAACAGGAACCTTTTCCTTTCCTTTCCCTTTCCTTTCCCTTCTGCTTTCCTTTGAGGACTGTTTTCTGAATGTTTTGCATATCAAGATCTTGGTAACAAGATGGTTGAATTCTCTCAGGAGGTATAGTTAAAATATTTAGCATTCTGTGCAGCGGGGCACCCACCTGCCAACTTAATTGAACTCAAGCCAGCCTGCAGGGGCACTAGCATTAGAGCAGAGTCCTGAAGCCCCCTGCTGGGCCAGATATTAATTCTTTAGTGCTGGGTTCTAGTGAAATGGTGTTGGTGGTGGGAAGAAGGAATGGTTCCCACAGCTGGGATGAACCAGACTGGGTATAGTTGGGGGAAGGGATCATGGAGGGGGAAGCTTACTGCAATTGCTACTTACCAGCCAGTATGGAAGGACTGCAGTATCTTAACAAGTAATGTTACACTTGTCAAATCAACTAAGTATCAGGTCTGCTCCTACAGAAAGCTGCCCAAAATTATTTTGTAGACTTCAATACCTAGCTATCAAATTTTCAGGACTTGTGAGCCCCTAGCAGTCACACAATAATTTTTCCCACATTTTACCGGTCAGTAAGGTTAAGGTGTCCCTCACGAGGGGCAGGACTCAAACAGCATTCAGGTAGCACAGGTATAAAGAAGCCTCATTTTCTTTAAACTAATGCTAGAGAAATATCTGCCAAAGATGTTCTAGAGATGCATTTCAAGTGAAAATCTGAGCACCAGGCATAAAACCTTCCTCTGTCATTCAAGGCAATAATCAAAAGAAATTCCTAAGCAAAACAAAATGCCTCCATCAGGGCTAAGCAAGGAAGAAGCCACTCTGTAGCTAAAGAATGAAAGAACAGGGCAAAAGCCACCAAATTCACACTAATGGAAGTGTGATTGGAACATAATTTAACTAGAAACAAAGCACCTCCAGAGTTGAGACCTGAGATAAGGAATGGGGATAAAGTCTTTCTTTGTGAAATGAAAAATATTTTCTGTTTGCATCATCATGTTTATTAAGCAGATGAGGTACAAGCTCTCAAAATAGCATTACCAGCTTCCGGAAGACTTGCACAGCAATGCTCAGAGCCGGCTAATTAGAGCAAATTTGGCTCTCGATAGAGAATCTCATTGTCTTTAGGAGGAAGAGTTTATTCACTCAGGGACCGTGGAGGTCCCTCAGAGTAAAGCCTTGTCAGGTGTATAGTTCCCTGATCACCTTAGGATAAAATGCTGAGCTGGGGTGCCAACACCCCTCTGGAGACAGGAAAGAAAAATCAGTGCTAAAGAGGTCAACTTAAAAGACAGAGCTTGTCCCCAGAAGACCTGGCTCTCCTGAAGGAAAGGGATCTCAAGCTAGTGGGCCATTCGCCCCTCGAGACAAAAATGGAAAAAAAAAAAAAATTCCAACATTGCACTGCAATCCTAAAGTAAAAGATGATGGCAGATACCTTTTGGAGCTTTGAAACAAGGAGCCCTGTTTAAATGGTACGTTTTATCAGTTTCTCCTTTTCACCCCAACTCTCTGTTTCAGAGAACTACAGTGCAGAACAAGATCTTGTTAAAACGCAAATGCTGATTCTGTGGGGCTGGAGTGAGGCCTGGGATTCTGCTTTTCAGACAAGCTCTTGTTCATGAACCACACCCCAAGCAGCAAGGATGTAGCAGATGTCTGTTGGTAGTTGACATTTTTTTCTCCCTTTCCTATTCCAGAGACTATTGTGTTGGTTAGAATTCCTCCAAAGGTAAACTCTGAGATAAGGGTTTAGATGTAAAAAGCTTATTTGGGAGCTGATCCCCAGGAAGCAGAGTGCTATGAGTTGAATATTCCCCAAAATTCATGTGTTGAAACATAATCATTAATGTGATAGTATTAACGGGTGGGGCCCTTAGGAGACGACTAGTCCTGAGGGCAGAGGCCTCCTGGATGGGAGTGGAGCCCTTATTTAAGGGCTTAGGGGAGGGAGTGGGTTTACTCTCTCCCACTCTTCTGCCTTGTGAAAATGCAGCAAGAAGGTCCTCACCAGATACCAAATGCCAGTGCCTTGAACTTGGACTTCCCAGCCTCTGGAAATGTAAAACCTAAAAGTTTGCATTTTACAAATTTCCCAGTCTCAGGTATTTTGTTATACCTGCACAAATGGACTAGACAGAGTAAAGATGTGAGGAAATGAAATAAGGAAGGGAGGAAGGATAATAAAGGGTGATTAATAAATGGTTGAATGCTTGCTTCGACAGCACATCTACTACAATTGGAAAGATACAGAGATTAGCATGGCCCCTGTGCAAGGATGACATGCAAATTCGTGAAGCATCCCCTATTTTAAAAAAGAAAAAAATGGTTGACATGTTTGTGGTTCCAAGAGGATGGTCTGAGAGAATTTACAGAATAGCACTGCCCAGAAGAACTAAGTGATGGAATCGTCATATACCTGCACTGCCCAGTGTGGTCACCTCAAACCACATGTGACTGTTACAGACTTGAAATGAGGAGAGTGTGGGGTGTGGGCTCCAGCACCCAAGCTGCATAGGGTTGGGGTCTGCTGGTTGGGTCAGAGACCTTGAAGACTTATCCCCCAAAAAGAAATAAGTGAGGCTTCTATTCTAATGAGTAGAAACTGATTTTTTTATGTATTATTAATTAATTCTTTTGAGACCCTGGGTAGAGTGCCATGGTGTCATAGCTCATAACAACCTCAAACTCTTGGGCTCAAGCAATCCTCCTGTCTCAGTCCCTCAGCTGGGGCTACAGGCACGTGCCACCATGCCTGGTTAATTTTTCTGTTTTTAGTAGAGACAGTGGCTTGCTCTTGCTCAGTCTGGTTTTGAACTGAGCTCAAGGGATCCTCCCACCTCGGCTCTCAGAGTGCTCATCTCTTGGCGTGCTAGGTGTGAGCCACTGCCTGGCCTGTTAATTAAATTTAAGTTGAATAGCCACAGGTGACTACTGATTACTGTGATGGACACCACAGATAAAGAAAATAACTCATAAACCTATAGGAATGTTTAACTATCAAATCCCTTCTTTTGTTGAGAATTGCTCCTGGGATTGGTCAATTTGTGGTACTTCTTCTGTGCTTCCATGACCAGAGAATAACCTCAACAGAAAGTTGCCATTGCGTAAGGCAAGAAGACGGTAGTGTGTATGGAAACTGCTCATCAAAGGTGCAGGTGATCACCAAGGTAGGCCTAGGAAATATGAGCAAGGCACTTATAGCATTGGCTATAAGAATCCTATTTTTATTTCAATGCCTATCCCCCCAGATCCTGAATAGCATAAGCTAATCAATGCATTCCATATCCCTGGCCACTGTCATTGGTTCCAGTTTGGGTAGATAACCTCAACTGGTCCAGGCCAGGTAAATCATGTGGCTCTTATGTGGGATGCTGGACTACTACAACTATCCTTTGACCTTCTGGACCTTGTGTTTATACATGCAAAGCTTAGTACTTCTGCAGCCATTTTGCTACCACAAAGGTTAAAGTTGACTCTGAAGATGACAGAGCACAGAGAAACAGAAAACCCAGTCTGACTCTGAGGAATACTTTGAGCTGCAAATAACCAAAATAAGCAGCTAACCTTAAATAGCAATTATCTCACATAGTGAGAAACTTCAAGGTAGGCAAGCAAAGATTTTATGCAGCAGCTCAACAGTTTCATCAAGGACCCAAGATCTTTCTAGTCTGACATTCTGCCTCCTTAGCATGTGGACTTTTTGCGTTTCCTCATGGGCACAAGAGATAAAGATGGGATTTCTCTATAGACTCCTGACAGTAGAGCCCAGAGAGAAACTAACGTCCAGAGCTGCACTTGATACTCGAGGGAAGGATCAATCCTGAGGCGTTAATTGGGGTTGAGTAAAAAGGAAGAAACCGGGGATGGTGCAAAAGATTTGAACGATGATTGACCATGGAGATGCAACCAACTAGGCACTATTCGAAGCACTTTCATCCATTAGCTCATCTAATCAGACTAAGGTCTACAAGGCACTTCCTAGTTCTATCATGGCCGCTTTATGGATTGGATAACTAGGACATAACAGAGTCAGATAACTGACCAAAAATAACATAGGAAGAGTGGGACTAGAATCCAAACACAAACAGTTTATTTCTAGATCTGCCCTCTTGATCATGGCTAGATCATGCTATATTGCCTCTATAAAGGGTGAGCACCAGAACAAATTAAGAAGACATAGTAAAAGATAAGAGATGAATTTGGAAGGACGTCTCTGAGCCACTGGAATGAAGGTGCCGGGGTTTCTTAAAGGTTGCTCACAGCCTTGACTAGTAGCTAGAAAGGGAGTGGATAAAAATCCAGACTAGCCCCTTAAATTTTGGATCTGCGTGCGCCATCTAAGAGAGCTGTCATTCATGATCACTTTATTCTCAATTCCTAATCTTTGGCATATGCCTTCTAGGAGGGCTTCCCTGGTTTATCCTCCACATACACTGATCCACGTTTCCCTACGTTCAATTCTGGTCTTGACTATTTCATTGTAGACTTGAATTTTTCCATTTCTATTTCACTTTTCATTTTCCTTCTAATCCTTAGTTATGTCACCTGTCTCCCTTTTAATTTCATTTTCTTTTGTCTTGACCTCTTGGCCTTTCTACTACAATTTCATGGGTGTCAAGCACATTCTAAAGTATTGCCTTATTTTCTAGAGTAAATCATTTTGAGAGAATGTCTCTTTAAGTCTGTAGTACATTCCCTTCCCGTCCCTTTTCCTCACGCGGCAGTGTTTTTACTGGCTTAGGACGGTGGTGTTTTCTGCTCATTTATCCTTGAATAAGAACAAATCCTCCATACACCCCATGTTTCCCAATATGCAAGAGTGATGGATTTCCTTTAGCCCAATTCTCAAGTAGTTTTGAATTGTTTTTCAGACCTACGGCTGAACAGAGACAGACTGAGAGCTGGACAGAAGGTTAATATGCACAAATATCTCCTGGTCAGAAGGCCCTCTTAGTCAACTTGCATCGTATATGGCTTTGCTGAACTGAGAGTGAAACTCCCCTTTCTGTCCACCTGGCTCTCTGATACCCTGAACAAGTGGAGTGCGCACAACCTCAAGTCCCAGTTCTTCTCTCACTGTGCTTCCCTGTTCTCCTTCAGCTGTGGGGACCGCACCTTCCAGACTCTGGTGAGCCAAGACCTACACTTTTGCGAACAGAGAGTGGTGGTCAGAGTTACATTGAAGGGCCTGTCAAAGAATTTCAGGCTCTTACGGCTCCTATGGACCCAATAAAGGTGAGCTTCACGGGTAGAAGTGAGCTTCTCTATCCCCACCAGCAGCCATGTCATAGGTGGAAGTAAAAACTTGGTGGATGGGTCCACTTGGCCATGGTAAAATGCTGTGCCACTTCGCCTATTCCTGTGATGACAGGGATATTTGAGTGAGAAATTGTGCAAAGTGACGTGTGATCAACCAAAGCTGTTGAATGCCCCTGAGTCAGAGAGGGACACTTGTGACATGATTCTACGCCTTTTTTTAATGTGCTGCAACTTTTGAAGGATGTGTTTGATGCCGTCATTTTAGTGAAAAGTACATACTCTCATTTCCCAGCAGAAGCACGCTGGGGCTGGGTGGGGGAGAGGGAAATTCAGATACTTCTTTTCTTGGAAATAATTTTCTACTTCGACAGCGCATACATAGGAAGACATACTTGGAATAGGGTAATTACCCAAGTCAGCCAGAGTGGCCTAAGTGAACTGTTGCTTGGGCATCATCCCTCCATTGACGCCTAGGTGGCAGTGAGTTAACTCTTTCCTGCCCACGACAGATAAAGTCCATGCTGGTGGAAAGTGACTTCATTAGTCAAATTAATTCATCTAAACAGGATTAACTGAGGGCCTGCTCTTCCAGACTGGTGCTGGTAATGAAGAAAACGGACATACTCCTTCTCTTATGGAGGTTATCATCTAGTTGGAGAGACAAGCACTCAGCAAACACATACAAAAACATATATAATTGTTAATTGGGGCAAATGCTACTAAGGACATGAAGGAGGTACTGTGGGAAAGAACCAAAGTTCGAGTTCATGGCAATCTTTCTGGGGAAGGGACGTTTAGGCCGAGATAGAAAGGAGCTATGCAGGCAATTCTGAGCTCCACGAGTATTCCAGGTTGAAGGAACAGCATGTGCTAAGCAGTGAGACAAGAGGAGTTGGCTTGTGTGAGCAGCTAACCAGAGGCCAGTGGAGCTGCAGCTTAGTGAGTAGGAGGGAGAGTCTTGAAGAGATGAACAGGTATTTAGGGGAAGCAAAGGAGGTGGATAAATGGAGCAGTGTGGTCCTGTTGAATTTTGCATGAATTAATGCTGATCCAAGTCAGCATAGTTCTGGGACTTTCCCCAGCGCTATTCTGTCACTCTTTTTGTCTGCCAGCTTTGCCTCTGCTCAGAAGATGAGGGAAACCCAGCTTAAGCTTTTGTCAGGGTCTGTCTGGTGCCCTCAACTGCATTTCTCTATTCCTTGCTGCGACATCTGCTTAACCTCTTGGTACAGCCTAATGTCAAACCCTATTCTGGGAAGACCCTGTCCCAAACAGGGAGGCCATCTGAAAACTATCAATCCTTCTCTGACTCAAAATCGAGTTGATTTGTGCTATTCTCTCAGACCCTATCTCCTTCCGTCTCCGAGGGGAAATGGGATGGCCTTGTGATAATCCTATGGACCTGCCAGGACCACCTCAATCAGCTGTTTGGCTTAGCTGAGGTTGCCTTTTGGAGAAGTCATAGCCCATCCTGGCTTACTTTAGAATAGAATTCATGATCTTATGTTATAAACCAGTGGCCCTTTGTCCAAAGCATTCTTGTAGATGCCTCATTGTGCAAAGCCCCAATTGTTATACTGATGGCATCTGCATATGACATCTTTAATTCTTCCAATAGAACGTCTGTCTGAGGACATTTCTAAGGATTAAACTAACCTCCTCCAGTAGCACTGAAAACTAATTTCCTATTGTTTAGACCTCGGTAGAAGCCAGAGGATTTGGTCACAACCCTCCCTGTGGAGGCAATATTCTAGTTACAAAAAATAATTAAATCACCTTGTTTAGCATTCCTTTGCCAGATTAATTTAAATCCCCGAAGCCTTCTTTTTTCCTTCTTTAGGCCATGTATTAAGACACTATATACTTAAAGGGCTTTCAAGGGCAAGTCTTATTATTTACCAGGGTAAAAGCTTTCCGGAAAGAATAACAGCTCCAAGGACAATACCTTGCAACTTGACGGCACTTAACTTTTTCCCTGATGCTTTTTTTTGCAAATACATCATCTTATTTTGCCCCCTTAATGGCTCTGTGAATTAAGGAAGGTAGATGTT